AAGTCACGAAGCTTTTCCTTGTGTGATTACATCCCTCTCTTTACAGCTGTTTACTTGTCCCAAGGAAACAAGAAATTGCAAGTGACTGGGAGAAAAAAATGAATGGTGACTGTTGTGTTTGTTCTCCTGCTAATTCATCAACTTGAAGTCAACACCTGGGTCAAGCAAAACAGTTCAATCTGAAGTTGGAAAGCTTATGGAGCTGCTTGACATATGCTTATTTTCAAATATACCACATCATGGTGCATAAACATTTGGCTTCCATAGATCTTTACCTAACTTTATAGCTAGCATTATGTGCAGTATTCAGGAGTCATGGAAGTGATGCTGTAGTTAGAGCCGAAGATGTGTTTTAAGTATGCACCTTCTGTTTTAAAGCATTTACAAATTTTTGAAATTTTCATGTTTGATGGAATTAAGTAATTTTTTTTCTGTTTTATTGGATGCTGTTTTATCGAAGTATTTGCAATAAGTAAATATATTATTTCTGGGAATAACCATGCTTGCTGGGATATCTAAACTTTGTGTGTATGTGGTGGGTGTGGAAAATGATTCCCAACATCAACTTTGCTACAGATTTATGATTCTGTTTTAAGCTGTTGTTTAGTTTTCATTCTTGGTCAGAGGAGAATGGAGTCCATAGTGAGTAGGTTTGCAGTCCTGCTTGGGTTCAGTGTTTAGGCCAATCATGCATTTAACAAAGCTTTTGGGCAGGGAGACAGCTTGAGAGCTGCTTGCCTAATTGGCCTTGGGAGCAAGGTGGAAAGCAAGCTGACACACCAAGTCAGCTGGCTCCCCTGGTGCTGCCAGCTCCAGGAAGGCTGTTTGTTGGTTTAATGTGGTGTCCAGTAATGTAAATATACAGCAAGAGTTTGCTCAGGGAGGGTGCTGTCCAGGCCAGCTCTCCAGTTCCTTCACTTCAAGCCAGTGTGGCTGAAGTTTGAATCCACATCTTTTTCTTCTGTTGGGCACCACTCGAAGGCTGCTGAGCTAAAATTTATTTTAAGACTGAGTCTTCCCTCGTCTGGGTGGGCACTTTCACAATGAAGCATGGCAGGCACATAAGTCAGATTGAAGAGAGAGCCTAAATAATATCTGTAGATACATACAGAAGGAAAATAGATGTAGAGGACAAAGAACATAGTTTGGGAAAGTAGAGACGTATGCTCTGAATTATTCTTTCAGTTACTTGAACTTGATTTTGACAGCCAGCAAGGCTCTAAATGTGTCTTTCATCAAGAGTGGTAAGTACTAAGTTAGAGGGTAAAGAAGAATTTCTGATTGTGATAGATTTCTTTGTTCAGAAATCCCAGGAGGTTCTTATGCTTCTGTGAAAAATGTGAGGAATTTGAAATGTTTGGTTTTGTTAATCTTTAAGTTGTTAGAATCCATGACACACTATTTTCTTTGGGAAGATTTTGTATGCAGTTATGCAGTTAATTCTTGGATTTGAAGTCAATGCTAATAAGCTTGTTTTACCTAAGACATTTATCTGTTTGAATGTGCAAGGAATGTAGACTAATAACTCCTTACAATCCCAGTCATTTGTTTCTATAATTATTTAAATATTGTTCATTTGGGTGATTTGTTTCTGTAATTATGTAAATATGGTTCAGCTGGGTTTTCAAATATTTTTAGAAGTATGTACGGGTCTACTGCATTTTAACAGGTGATTTTATTAGTTGGGATCCTTCGCCTGTCCATTTCTCTTTCAAGTATTTCTTGTTAGTAACTTTTGAGCTTGTTGAGAAACTGCTTTGACTTGAAAGGGCAGTAACCTTGAAATGATGGCATATGGATGAAATGTTGCTATTAGTGCTTCTGCTGAAGGAGAAGACATAACTTGCCCATTATGTGTTATTTTCTGGTAGCATCTGACTGGCAAGCCAGTTTGTTGCTAGCCATGATATTTTGTGGTTTATTGCTACAAGAGGATGGCTCAAGAAATGTAAGTCATGCCAAGAGGGTGAGTTACAGAAATAGGATGAAGGCAGATTTAGAAGAACATGTAGACAAATGGGTGAGAAAACAAACTTGTTCTACTGTTTACAAAGCAGCTACTTCAGCCAACTAAGGATTTTCTGCAAGTAATTCATCTGCTGGTAAATAATCAGTTCAGCAGCTGTTATTACACTGATCATATTGGTGCTGCCTGTTTGCAAATTGTCCTTGCAGTTGATGAAAGTTTGTGTGCAGGATAGCTGCAGATGACAGAGTTTATCCCAAGGGTGTAGCAATTATATTGTGTATTACAATTGGGAAAATTCAACAAGCAATAATAAAACAGTGTGAAACGGAATATTTTATGCCTTAAAATTACTCTGTATTATAGTTTTATGAAAACATGTCTTGTGCTCAAAGGTATCGCTTACTTAAATGCCACATATCTTTTAAAATGGGTGTAGTTATATAATGTGAAATTTAGAGTGTATGATCTTAACCCTATTTAAGCATTTGGCTCTTAATAATTTTGCATAAGTATTTTTCCTACAACACGAGGTTTAAATAGAATGCAGTGAAAGCAATAAGACTTTGGGACATTTTGTCCACTGAATCTCTGAGAGGAAAGAAATCACCCATCCTTATTTTTAGAATTTTTAAAAATTGTTTTCAGTGAAACCAGTCCAACCTTATGTAGATAGGTGCTTGTAATCAAAGTTATATTTGCAGGGCTGTCATCTAAGGAGATGTTTTGGTAAACATGATATATATTTAGTAAATACACCTCCCTATCTTCCACATGTCAAATATCTTTAAAGCATTTCATTTTCTGCCATATTTCTAAACACATATTGTTCATTTTTCAGCCATTACAGGGCTTCTTCTTCTAAGATTATTTAAATTTTATAGAAGAACAAATGAAGTAGTTAATCAAATGCCCATTAACTTCTCAAATTCTCTAATTTCTGATTACATGGGTACCCCAAAGACTATTCTCAGTTGCATCTTACCATTACTGGACCTCTTCCCTTCTCCAAATAAATTAACTAACCTTATAAATAGAAAAAAATCAATATACATCATGCATCACTTTAAGAGTTAAACAGCCTTTTCAGTAAGTAGCAGAAGTTTCCTGACTTTACAGGAAGAACTGCCAACTGTTTGTGATTGAGAAAAAATGTGCACTTTTACAAAATTTGCAATTTTCATTACTGTATTACTTGTAGACTAGAATGAAACAGGCCCTCAGAGTGGCTGACCAGGTTAGACACTTCCAGGTGCTTCTCTTGCACTTCAGCAGTTTATATCCTTCACTTCATTTCAGATTTTTTTAAGTATTACAATTATTTCAAAAAGGTGATTTCAGTGCTTCATCTTAAAGATCAGTTTTTGTTTCAGCTTGAAATGTAAAGCCTCCTTTTTTTTCCATAATAGGACTGTCTGTATACATCAGGCTTGTGAAGGTTCTGCTCCTTACGTGAGTTCTTGCTTTCCCTCTTGCATTGGAAAGCTGAAGGTGGTTGGATGCAATAGCCTTTCTGCTAATTGCATCCAATCATGCAGCTTTTATATCTTATGCATGGTCTTTAAAGTGCCCTTATCACACTAATTCTTGAATCATCAAGGTTTAAAATACCTCATTAGAGAATGCTTCTCATAAATCCTCTTGCAAATCATGTCTCTTTTTCACAAATGTTTCTCTCTTCCATGTAAGCGTTATCAGCCCTGGGGTTCTGTGCAGATATGATTAAATCTGGCTTAGATCTACTACTCTGGTGTAGAAAATACCAACCAAATGTGTTTCATTTCAGCCTCTCTAGGTGGTATTCACTATCTGTGTAGCCTTGGGCAGCCACATGGTTAACTGTGTTCCCTACTGAATGCTTCCTCTAATCTGTTACTGGCAGGAAGGGGAGACTTGCCAGCCCCATTCTTCTATAGCCATCTTCAGAGAGATGAAACCTGAGTCTGTTGCCTCATCTCTTTCCAAAATAGGATGTCTGCCAGCATTGATGGGAGAGGTAGCAAATGAGAAAGGAAGGAGCAAAAACTGTGACTGATGTAGTGGGGAGCAACAGATGTCATGTGGAAAATTGAGATACACTCAATAAGCATTTCCTACAAACATTTTCCTACTGATGTAACTTAGTTATGGGGTGTGAGATACGAGCATATGAGAGAGTGAGTGAGTTTAAGCTTTGAAGCGTTTCAGACAGATGGAATTTTGTGGTTTAAGACAATTTACGTGGAATTACAGGGTAGGCTATTCACAGCTTGATGATTCTGCTTTAGAAATGATTTTATGTTCTAATTAAAGAGATTTGGTGAAAGAGAATAGAAGAAACTGCCTAAAGAATCAAGGGAAGTAAAGGTCAAGAGCTGCTGCTGCTGCTGTTAAAAGTGTGTCATCTCTAAAGAGCTATAACCTGTAAAAGAAAATAATACAGAGAATTACAGGTTACTCTTGTGATATCAACTTCAGCTTACACTGTTGATAAATGTAGATTTCTTTGAATACATTATTAAAGGCAGTATCACCACACATGAGTGAGAAAAAGTGTTTTGACATCTGTATTACAAATTGTACTAAAGTGCATACTTGTCTAGAACAGAAAAAACCTGAGTCTGTTACTGTTTTGTAAGCACCTCTTGCTTCTATTCTTGTCAGACTTCAAATTAATAAAATCTTCTTCCATTATAATTTTTAACTAGGGCTATTGTAGAAATCATGTGAGATATTTCAGGGATGTCACCATTTTCATAGTTCATTATAGACTTTCCTTTTGAGATGGTGGCTCTAAAGACAATGACATCAGTGTGAGTCACAGAGTATGCTCTGTGTTCCCTAATTGTTTTCTAGGCTTGGTGTTCTGTATTGGACTGTCTTTCCTTCATTTTTATTGATGAAGTTTTGTTCAGATATGTCAGAAATACATACTACAGTTTGTGTTTCCTTTATTGCTCAGGAGTTGCTGCTTTTCACCAGATTGTGTTCTAAGGTTTGAACTTCAGAATTGGTGAGACTTACATTGAAATTTTATGTTTTTCTTCCTTAACAGAAAGGGCTATTGCAAGGCATGAAGTCAGAGAAATAGAGCAGCGTCACACAGTCGATGGTCCCCGACAAGATGTGACACTGGATGAGGAAGATGATGTGGTGATTATTTACAACAGAGTACCCAAGACTGCCAGCACATCCTTCACAAATATTGCCTATGATCTCTGTGCTAAGAACAAATACCATGTTCTACATATCAATACAACCAAAAATAACCCTGTTATGTCTCTGCAAGATCAGGTAAGCTGCTGAATTTGGGATGTCTTTATGAAACCAGGGAAGAACAAAGGAAAAAAATTTTGCTCTTGTGAACTTGGGTGTTCTGATGTACTTAACTTCTTTGTCACATGTTCCAGTATAAACGAAATCGAATGTTTTCATATTTTCTTTGTAGAGAATATTATTTCTTAATAGGTTGAGGCTTTTGCTTGGCTACTGGAGGTGGTAAGTCTCTGTTTATTGGACAAAAACGAAGCTAAAAAGGGGCATGACTGGGGTAGAAATGACCTTTGTTGTTAGAACTGTTTTGGCTGTGTAATACAACTTGCCTGTTATCTCCATCTGCAATGGATGCAGTCTTAGGCAATTTGCTCTCTGAATAGTGCAGGCACTGTGCCATGCTGTCAGGGCTAGACTTGTGTCTTTAGTACTGGGGCTGGTCAGGTCTCACAGGTGATAAAAAGCATACAGAAAAGTGCTTGTAAATAGCTTGCTCTGCAAAGGACGGGTCACTTAGCATCCATTAAAATCCTCACTAAAACCACTGTAGTACCGGACTAGAAATGACCATGGCTACTGCATTTTAAAAAGATGAGGGTTCAGTGCCATGTTTTTTATTAGGCTGGGGTGAGGAAGTAGGTTTATTGGTTTATTTTCATTAATATTTCCTTGGCCGTCATGAGTGCACTTGCAGAGAATCCAGGTTAGAGATCTGAAACATCACTGTCATCATCCCTGCCTGTAGAACAAATGTTTCTGAGCTCTCTGCTGCTGGTTGTATGCTGATCACTGAAGTTGATATGCAGCAGAGGCAGGAGCTGCTCTGCATTGCAGCATGTCAGCTCTGAGCCGTCCAGCTCCTCTGAGTGCATGTCTGCAGGCTGAAGCAGCTCAGCACAGCTGGGCTGGGCCAGGGGAAGCAGATGCTAAAGGCCCTCCAGTTCTGTATTTTGGAGGAGGGTTTAGGTAGGGATCTCTGTGCAGAGGAAATAACGGACTTGGGTGATACTGGAATCTGTTTTGTGACAGTTGAGTTGTGTTACTGCGGAGTATTTCCTCCTGTAAAATTGTTCCCTGCAAATGAAAGTGGTACTGTCATACATGATTACTCTGATTATGAAGTCTGGTAGTCATCATTAAAGTCCTGTCCACTGCATAGAACAAGTACTAAAGACCTATGCACTAAGAGCTGGGTGATTTTTCAAAAGATTTAATCAACCTATTAATTATTAATTTAAAATCATACTCAAGTCAGGTATACCTAGTACTGCACTTCCCACCAAATTCTGTTTCTTTCAAGGTGTCTTTTGAAATGGAAGTCTGTTCTGGAGGATAGGAGAGCTAGTCATTGAATAGGTATAAATTAAACACAGGCTACCTTAAATTTCTACATCTGTTTGAACTTAATTCAAATAAAATTTGTTCTTTGCTGGCTTAGTTTTATAAAATAGAAACTCTTCATCTTTCCTCTAGTAATAATCTATTGAAAAATGAAAATCTGTCTGTGCTGAGCATGTACACGGTACTGTCAGTCCTACCTTCATTTCATACTATGCTCTTGTCCAAGATGGTAAATAATGTAGTTTAATTAGACACTTGATACTGGTTTTTGGTGGCCATTAACTGGGATATGCTGGCAATGAAGAGCTTCATATATTGCACAGTTGTTGAAAGATGCAGAAATAATGATTCACCTTCAATCCACGGAGATAAGACCTTGCCATTGCAAGTCATAGTGCATAATTCAGGAGATGGCAGGGGTGCTGAGTGGTAGCTCATGGTGTTTACTCTGTGTGGGCTTGGATTAGCCTGGCATATTCATATGCCACCTTCACCAGTATAGCTCATTTGGGTGCGTTAGGTGTATATGTGCCAGTAGTAAAATACATAAACATATCATAGAGACAAAATTGTTCTGTTAGTGATACTGTTTGTTTAAGCAAATCTGCCTAGGTAAGGTGAAGATTGCTTCAGGCCTGGCAGAAATTTGTAAATTCGTGAGTGTTCTTTTGTGCAGTTTTTCTGCTGTACTTCTTCCAAACTACTGTAATTCTGTAACAGATTCTAAGTTCTCAGCCCATCTGTGAAACCTTTACTTCTTGAATGCAGTATGAAACAAATGATATTTAAAATCCACTCCAAATATAGTCTCTATCTGATTTGAGATAAACTGGTAAGAGTTCCTAGCACTCATTTTAGTTTCAGGTGGAACTTGTCCCAGGAGCCTTCCTTTCTTTTGCAGCACCTCTGGCAGCAGGATCCTGGGAGCTGCCCCTCTTTCCCCAGGAAGGGCTTTTTCTTTGCAGCAAGCTGAGTGCTGTGTTGCTCATGTTGCAATTCTGACCTGTGTGCTTTTCTTAACTAAATCAGAGTAGTTGTTTGGTTGAGTTTTACTTGCTGCTTGCACGTTTCAGCAGTGACACTTTGTCCATACAAGAATGCCTGTGTCACATCAGGATGGCATACCAGTCACACAAACTTTATTGCTTTTGTTACATGGTGAAGTTGTCATTGAAAGCACTTAAAATTAAATTACTGTTCTGCATTACAGCATGTGTTCTTGATATATTATTTAAAAAGTGAGTGTGAGAACGTTCTCTGTACTGTTATGAATGCTACAATTATCCAGTGTTTCAGTCCCTCAGCTTGCTGGCTTCTGTTTCTTGGGTTTTTTCTTTTTCAGTTTCTCTCTCAATTTTTCTCTAAAGAGCACCATGAACATATATTATCTTGCTTCCAAGTGCATTCTAAAACAGTTGGTCTCTCGGAGGACAGCACAGTCATAATGGCTTTAGTGGTACTTATTTCCTCTGCTAGTGCAGGTTTCAGTGGCTGTCAGAAGTGGAACAAGTGAAAGGCCTGCAGCAACTCTGCAACAAATGGAAGTACTGATATGTGCTTGTGGATATTTAAGAATTTTTCTTTTGGAGTTAGATGGTCTACTGAGTACAAGTGCTGCATGTGTGCCAATTGTACTTTTCCTTCTGAGAAAGAAAGAAAGAAAAGTACAAGGCAGGTACCTTCAAGGCAGGTATCCTGGCTGTACTGTGGCTGAACTGGTGAACTCAATCTTTTCACCATCTCACAGAATTGATTCTCAGCTGTCCTTGCCTTGAGCTTGCTTGTGGTTGTTCATGGCATGCAGGCAAAGGTGTGCTGCTTGATTGTTCCAGCATTCCAGACCTGTGGTTCAGAGCTGGCTCAGACGTGCTCACACACACTCAGACTCATTCTTGCACACTAGCGCACACACACACACTTGTGCACACCCAGGCACTCTCACACTGAGACACAAGCACAGTCACATGCACACACATCAGATACACTCAGACACACAGTCACACACACACTCTTGCACACGTGTGCACACGTGCATGTGTGTGACTGTGAGTGTGTCTGTGTGCATGAATTCATGTGGGAGTGTGCAGTCAGACTCTAGGGAAGAGGCACTGATGGCTGCAGTTACTGGAGAGAGATCAGAACTTAGAGCATCACTTTCATTTGCACACATGGCTTTTTCTCAGACCAGCTATGCTGGTTGGGTTTTTCCTTCTTTTGGCTCACTGGGACTTGTTTTAAATTCCTGCTGTCCTAGAAACTGAATGTGTTTAACTTACCTGTCAGGACATCTTATGCCCCTGGAGTACCTTTGATCGGCCTTTTTAATTCAGTGAACCTCAGCTGATTTCCCACTTACTGAAGGCTGTGAAGCAACTTTGTAGCTGATTATATAAAAGCACCCTGAAACAGCTTCACAGGAATTCCATTCACGTCTATCTTAACTTTTAAAGTCGCTTCAAATTTTATTCAGTTGGTCTCTGATGGAGAAGCTTGCTCTGTCTCTTGAAAGCTACAGTATCTGCTAAGCCCTGAAAAGAAAAGTAAAATTGATCATATTTAACAGTATGAAGCGGTGAGCAATATTCATCTCTGACCTAAAACGTGTGAAACCAGACTCATTAGGCTGTCCATGACCTGGAACAATTCTGGCTTTTGGAATGCTGCAAATTATGAGAGGAAAAAAAAAATCTCTTGCCTGCAGGCTAGTTATAGGTGTTAAAAACTATAGTTCTCAGGGGCTCAGCATGTTGCAGGTCCATCCTAAGACAGATGTAAATGTCACAGGTGTGTTATAAAACTTTCCTAGCCTTCTCTTAACTTGGTTGGTGTTAGAGGCCTGAAACATCTACATTTTGATGCCAGATGGCTGGCATGGGGATCTAAAACAAAAAACTTATGATTTTGTACTTAACATTACCTTATGTCTAGTCCAAGTCTATTAGAAACTGAAATTAGAAATCATCCCAGATGATACAAGATTTCAAAAAGCTCATTCATGGAAACATAAATGTACACTTTAGTATGTGGGCTGCACTGCACAGCCTAAATAGCATAACTGGTTTACTTGGAGAGTTGTATCAACCAACCATGACATTTGGGGTTTGTGAGTGAGGGAAGGAAAGATGATTGATATTGTGTATTTAGGAAATATCTTTGCCAGGTAAAGAAGTATTTATAGCTGAGGCTCTCCACTGAAAATATTTTGTCGTTAATTTTGGAAAGATACAGTGAATGGAATTGTGGTTTATTTCAGTTTATTTACTGAAGGTAAAGTTAGTTCAACTGGGTTCAAAGTCCCATATTAACAGTTTGTGCTATGGACAAAACCAGACAGGAAGCCAATGCAGTTTATAAAACACCATTGTGTAACATTGTGCAGTGCTTTTCATCTAGATTTGCCACCATTTTAATGTGCAATATATGGTTTAAATTTTGTAATGCCACTGACTGTAAAACTTGTATACTAAAAAATTCATGTTGCCTGTTATTAAAAATTAGTATAAATTTCTGTTATCTGAGCATCCAAGAGCCAGTGTTTAAAGAAATAAGGTTACCAATCTCTTAAATCATAGACCATGAGTTTTGCACAATTGAAGAAACAGCAGCAGGCCAGTCTCACCTCTTAAAATCTTCAACTGGTATGTTATAACAAATAGTAAATATTATGCTTCAGGACACTCTTAATATACTTGTCCTTACAGAATGGTAGTTACTGTGTTGTCTTGAGCTCTTTGCTTTTTTGTCTCTCTTGTTTCACCTTAGAATCTTTGTGGTTATCTGTTTCTCTGTATAACAGAAAAGATATTGCAGATGTGCAGAGAACATTATCTTTTAATTCACAACCTCAGAAATGGCATATCTTTGTCAGACAGCTCAGGCAGTACAAATTTATCATCCTCTCTTTATTATCCAATTCACTAGTTTTGGAATAACTTTCAGTTACATGCTTTGATGTTAGAATATTCTGTTCATCTAGTAAAGCCAAGCTCTATCAGGATTTGCATGTCCCACTTAATTTGATCACACTCTCTGGTTTGGGGCATGTGTCTTATTTTGTTCTTTGAAATGTAAAGCTATTCCTATTTTTGTGAAGTTTGCCAATAAGTGCTCTATCAGCCCTCATTCAAGGGCTACTTCATGCTTTAGCATGAAAGTTTCACTGAAATGTTAGGCTTAAGATGACTATTCAAAATAGCAAATCTGTAGATCTGATTTACATGGCATGCATTTATAACATTTCTGGATTACTTGTGCATTGCATTTTGGGATGGAAGAGCAAATGAACCATCAGATTTGTTTCTTATATCCCAATAAAATAGGTCTAAGAACATGCTGTAAATCTAGTACTCTTTTATCTGAGGGACTGAATATCAGATCAGACAGACAATTCCATAAAATATGTACTTGCATTTCTACTGAAAGAATCCTTCATTCCTTTCCAATTACAAATAAAATGGACTGACAAAAATATAAATGTTTGTTTTGCTGATGTTTTTGTGAAAGTTTTCCTTGGACTGTCCTTCTGATTGCTGTATTCTGGTTTTGTTAGTTTCTGATCATTCAGTTCTGATGACCTAAAATCAGTCATCTGTATGCTGCAGGAAAGACTATTTTAGGGGGCACAATTTTTTTTTATAATACTCAAAATAGAGTTTTTAATCGAATGCATTATAAGATTAAAAGCCAGGAAAGGCCGTGTATGGGCAAATGCAACGAGGCACACAGAAACACTTTTTGTTGCCGCTTTCGCAGGTGCGCTTTGTGAAGAACGTGACCTCGTGGAAGGAGATGAAGCCGGGATTTTACCACGGCCACGTCTCGTACCTGGACTTCGCCAAGTACGTTCGCGCGGGCTCGGCCGGGCTGCCGCGCCCTCCAGCGCTCCGGCCGGGAACTGCAGCGTGGGCATGCCCGGCCCTCCCAGAGTGCCGGAGTTTGGGGTGATCTTCACCCATTGCTCTTGTTTTCTTGCATGGTATACTGTAGCCGAGTCTCATTTAAAAAAGAAAACGTTTATATACTGGGATTAGTATTCCTTGTCTGAATTCCAAGCTTGTTTTGCTGAAAATCATGGCTTTTTTTCTGAAACCCTGGCAGTTCTGTTCTGGGATTGGCTTCCCATTTGGGGAGGTTTAACATACCTGTTCTCAAAAATGCTTCATATAAAGAGTAACACCACCTGCCTCTTAAGTTATGTAATTCTTCTCTACCTTAGTATCCCTTTACACTTTATCAAAATATGAAAAGTTATCTTTTGAAGTAGTTTTCTGGTCTATAATAGTTTGATTTGCTAGAAAAAACATTGAAATAATTCTTGTGGAGTTAAATGCTGCTACTTCTAAAATTAAATAAAATGTCTTAAAAATCGTCCCACTGACTTCAAAGGTTCAGGATCATATCTTTATTCCCACTTTCATATGTTTCTTTTCTTGTCTTATTTTTGCTTCTGGATCTAAAGCTGTGATCCTTAGTAGCTCAGTCTTATGAAACCTCCCCTTAAACTGACAAGTCAGTTTTGCTTAAGATGCTTACTAGGCAGTGCTTCATCTTGCACTTGGAGCATGTGGAAAATTATTTAAAATTGAAAGTGGCATTTTCAGATCTCATTACATTTGACTGCACAAATGATAGTAACCGCTACTTTTACCTCTTGCTGATGGTCACTCAGTGTTTCTATGTTTCTGTGCATTAAAGTATTTATTTAAATTCTTTTTTGTATGTAATAATTCCTTTTGTTTAGTCATTCCTTTTAATTACTCATTCTGTCATGTACTCTGATTTTTAATTTGGACTTTTTATTACAAAGAATGAGATGGGGAAGTGAGACCTGTGCAGATTCCCAATACAGTACATTATCAGAAAATGCTAAAAGCTACAGTAGTAGCTGAAAATAACCAGTGTCACCAAGTTTACAAGAAGTAACAGGCAAAAAAAAGTTACTGACAAATCAGTCAATCAAATAAAATACATCAAAATTTATTAGTTTCCTTTCTGCCTTTTTAAAATCAAAATGCTTCAACATTAATAAACGCTTGAACTGAGTAACGGCTTTCTGGTGCAGCAAAGCTGAATGTTATTTTATACATTAGTTCATAAAGCTGAAAACATTCTCAGATACTGGAACTCTTAAAACTAGAATATTTTACATCTAGAAAGCATCTAAGCAATTTCACAATTTCTTTCATCTGCATCTTCCCTCCAGGACTGTGTTATCCTTGTCTTTGTTGTTTGTTATCCTTTCACCTGAGTGATTTTTTTTTTCCCCACAACAGCTTGCTTTCTCATACTTTGGGTTTTCATTATTAAAATAATATCTTGAATACGATGGTTGTGCTTGGCAAGGCCCACACCTTTAAGGCTGTGAGGTATGTTCTTGTAATGAACATTCTTGTAGTTAAGAAGTGTAAAATATTTCAGAAGACTCAGTGCTTCCTTATCCATGGACATCAGACTTAGGTCCACTGTCAAATATCAGAAGTACCTCTTAAAATATGCTGAAAATTAAAGTACTGGATTCCATTGATAACTCACAGTACTGAGGAGAGGTTATTGTAATCCATCCATGTAGAAATTATGCTAATAAAAGTTAAAGTTTTTTCCCTTTTCTTTTTGTTTTTAAAATTTCTTATCCATTTATTCTCTATTTTCTCTGGTAAATAGTTGGGAAAAAAAGTTCTTTGACAACGCAATTGCCAATTCATTATCCTTATTAATAAGGTTACAGTAATAATTATGTTACTGGTAGGTTTATATTACTGTAACTGAAACTAGTTCTTCAAGCTCGTGTGCAAATGCAGGCGACTGTACAATGCAGCACAAGCATTTCTGAGGGCTTGGACATCTGCATTTAACCCACAGATATGTGCTGTTCGTGGGCTGAGTCTGCTGCTCTGTGGAAATGGTTTGTTTCAGCTTCCTCAGCACTTGCAGCAGTCTGTGGAAGGGGACACCTGCATGTCTCATGCACTTCAGTGGAGCTTAAAGAGGGTGAAGTTCAAAGCCTGGACTTGGCATCAGAATGGTTGAAATATTCACACCCTCTCTCCTCTGCAGACTGTGGGAAGCCAGAGCTGGCATGCAGACAGATGTCAGCAGTTCTGCCTTAGAGTGCTCCAGTCTGAATCATTGGTACTCTACTGGCAGTACTGGAGAATCAATTGCTCTTTCTGTAGCCTTTAACAATTTCTGTGTCTGTAGTGCTTGTTTTTGGCAAAAGCAATGCCTGTTAATTGGGTTTTTTTCTAACTTCCTCCTTTCTCTGACTTTTGCTACATTTCTGTTCTTCAGTTTTTCAACTTAACATTCCTCATATGCACAGTATCTGGTAGTAAAATTTACCCCTTTAAAAATCATGGTACTGCATCATAACACTGTGAGTTCTCTGCCTTAGCCAAGCTAGGCATGAATGGCCCTCTTTTGATGGAGAACGCTTTCCCAGTTTGCATAGGAACAGAAGAGAACTTTTTTTTCCAGCTTCTAGCTTTACTTCAGGGCACTTGACACACTTGCAATTTCCACTGTGATATAAACTCTTTAATATTTGAAATATCTCAAATGGGAAAGAAAATAAAACTGAGAAATGTATTGTAAAAGCTGACTTGAACATAGATCACTGAAAGGTAGCATTTGCACATAACAGTTTGGTGATTTAAATTTTTCTTCTGTGTCATATGAGATTACCACCTCATTTCATCAGGCTTCTGTTTGTAGTGGAGTGCATCAAAATTTGCTTCGAGTAAATGTCTATGGAAAAATTTAATATCTTTAGATAGAAAAGTTAATATGGTTACAGATGCTATCTTAGACTTATATTTAATAAGCATAGCTGTATGCATTCAACCCAGGCTATGGATGGGCTCTGAGCTCTGTCTTCCTGCTATTAGAGTTAATGTCTCTGGCAGCTGGAGACCTGCCAGGAAAACCACTCACAGCATTGCAAAGCCCAGTTCACAAGGGCAGGAACTCGATATCAAACTTCCTTGCACTTATTATAAACATGTATGTGGCTGCTAAACTAGTTAAGGCATTTCTAGAGTCAGGATGGTTGTGTAAACATTTTTAGTATCTATTTGTGTGACAATATGTCTGTTTTGTTTGTTTCTTTACTAATAAACCCCTAAAATCATCATCTTAGGCAGACTGAAATTGAACTTATTTTTGCATCCATGTAGTGCACTGGATATGAGACGAAGAGAAGTGATCATTAAGCTTCCTCCCAGTGTCATGTATTCTGTGTATGGATTTCAGTTGTAGCAATAAAGACAGGCTTTTACATGTTAGATGAGAAGCTTTGATTTGTCCTTTGAAAGATGTTTTTTCCTCTTTTACTTTAGATTTGGTGTTAAAAAGAAACCAATTTACATAAATGTCATAAGAGACCCTATAGAACGCCTAGTTTCTTATTATTACTTTCTGCGCTTTGGAGATGATTACAGACCAGGGCTACGGAGGCGAAAGCAGGGGGATAAAAAGGTAAGGTACACCTAAAAATATATGCTGAACTTACTAAAATCAATGTGAAGACAATTTAAAAAATGCCCTGATCAAAGCCAAATTGTTATTTTATCAGCCTTGTTGATAGTGATGGCTTTGAAAGTTATATTCTCCGTTTCCTGTCCATACTGGAGCAGAGCATGACATCAGTAGGTTCTCTGTACCCTTATAAATTCACTGTATGTTGCAATTTGTTAAAAAATTAAATAAAATAGTTTTTTTAATTGTTATTAGGTATCCAGAATTATAATTACCAGATTAGATTTATCCTCCTGTGTAAGAAAGCTACATCTTTTCTTGTTGAAGACTGAGACATATTTTTTCAGCAAAAGCTGTAAAACTGCTGATGCTTTGGCTTTGTTGATTATTTTCATATAATTAGCAACCCAATTTATTCTATTTTTTAAAAATGTAAACACTGCAATGTCTTTTTGGAAACTGTGGAGTATGACACATAAATTTCTGTACTTCCTCCTCGTGTCTTAGGTGGCTGTAGACAAGTTCAGGTTAGCACATTCAAACATTGACTACTAATACAGTTTCGGGATGGCAACGTCATTTAGACTTCATAATGGATTTGTTCCAGAAAGAATCTGTACATCCACTGTCATGGTTTGCAGTATGACCTTTCTGGACATGTTGGTTTTGATTTTTCTTATATTGGGAGAAAAGCAGGGTGTAAAATACATGAGTATGGTTTACAAAACTGTAGCTTGAATAGTGTGGAATCCTATAAAATGTAATGCGTTTTTGTACTTTATAGAGCCAAAGACTTTATACATTTTCAGTGATTATATTTTCTTAAGCTGATGCTGTTTTTCTGTAATGTTGACAATTTAGTGTAGTGCTGTGTGGGTACCAAGAGACACTGAAAAAACAAGCAAAAGTCACACAAAATATACAGCTTAGTCTATAAACACCATAACAACTAATAATTGTGAGTAATGATTTTGTGTGCTGTCCCCATCCAAATAGTGCTTCTTAAATATTTGGAGCAAACCATTCCTCTTTTTTTTTCCAGTTGGGAACTAAGTGGTCCTCTGTTATTTAGGCTTTAGCGCCATCTTCAGTTACTGCATTTCAGTTTGTCCAGGTATCCTGAAGCACAGCAGCATAGAAAGAGAAAAGCTTCAAGAATAAATTGAAATTAAGATTAAAAATTGTCTTTATAGAACTGGCTAAACAGATGAACAGGTGATGTGATATGATATCATAATGGCATTTTAAAAAAAGAGAGGTAAGATCTCATCTTTTGTAGACTGTCTTCCTCTTTCCTGCTTGAGATCAGTCACTTGAAAAGCTGAACATGCTGCTAAGTCTGAGCTGTTTCTAGGACATAAAACTTACCAAAAAGAGTAAAATGTAAGTGCTTATTTTAATTTTGAATTATAATCCAAACAACGTGGTTAGGTAGTCACTGGGAGACATGCCAAAAATCCTTACTGTTGCTGCTTGCCGGACTGCACTGTAAGCTTTGATTTGCTGGGAAAAAGGTCATATGCATTTCTGTTTATAATGCTTGCAATGCATTGCATTATTAATTTGATGTTTTTCTATTGAAGGGGCTTTTTACATTTTGTCACTATGATACCACTTTCTTTTGGTTTGAGAGACTTAGTTGTTGTACAGACTTAACATGTTCTGTAAGCATTTCAAGTTCATTTGAAGTGAAATTCATTTACTGTATCAAACTTCTGGCTTCTTTCATGTAAATCAGGTAGTACTATTTTTCCAGAGTGTCTCTGGAGAACTGTCCATGTATAGATGGTGTAAATTTTGCATACATTAGTTATAAAATTCAACAAGCTCAAAAATGGATTGAGCCAATTGCAGTGTCTTTATTCTAGTATGTGTTACAGTAGATTAATGAAAAGCTCTAGAGTTGAAAAGTACGGAAGATCAAAAATTACCTCTAGTGAAACTTAATTGTTCCTTTATTAGTGGGAAGGAATCTCAATGTATTTTTATACTCTGTCCCCTCCTAGTCCATACCATGGCATCTATATAAAAGAATTCTAAACTTGGTTGTTTTCAGTCTCTCTGTGCTTCCAGTCATAGTTAGCTTGGCTCCAAATGCAGAATCTGTAGAGGCAAGGGTTTCTTATAATGAATCTCTGGATGGAACAGCCAAGGTAGGTGTATTAGAGGAAGTGTGGAAGGAAGTCTGTCCTATTTCAGCTTACTTAGAAAATGGCTTGCTTCCTCTTGCTTATTAACTGTAAAATAACCTGCAGGTATAAGCAAAGAAATCTTTCTTTGCACAGATGCCAGTTCATTTTTAGTATAAACATTCATAATTTAGGAGGTGCGTTTAACAATAGATCAGTGCAGAATTTCCCTAGAGAACTATGCTAGGGAAAGCATACCAATGTCTTGTTTTCCCACTTAAAGCTGCATTTTTATCTATGGTGTGTGACAGGTACAAGCTATTTTAAACTCAGAGTTCAATGTGAACCAAGGCACCACAGTTTACTCCCTGCTTTGGCATAGTATCAATAATTTTTTCAGATTATCTTATAAACTTCACCTCAAAATAAAAGCAAATCATGTTGTCCTTTTTCTTAACTCCAAATAATTACACAAATGTGTTTTTACATAGTTGCTTTGAACAGAAACTTGTAATTAGACTGAAGAAGCAATCTAAAAAGTTGTCCATGGGATCTATTATTTTTTAATATATCCTAGATACAGGCCTTATATCTTGATTAGAAATACCACAAATATTTCCTTTATGGTGACATGTAAAGCATTTACAAATTCCCTGCAGTGCTAATGGAGTTCCTATTGTAACTGTGTTATTGCAGTTGAAACTCTGTTACTACAGCAGGGTATCCACATCAAGAGCAATATTGTATGGAATATTCTGTTATGCTGTGAGCAACTTCTTTTTGGTTCTTCTGATTGCCAGAACAAAATTAGCCTCTGAAATGGCAATTATTTCTCATTATTCAAATGTAATAGAAGCTTGTTTAATCTAAAAGACAAAATGCACAATGTTCTGTGTTAAAAAAGACCCAGCTGTTGCAGGATCACACAATTCCTCATGGCATTTGATACTGTATCTTTAGTGACTTCTTTTATAGGGGAAAATAATTATACCAACAGTTATTGACTATTTTTGCTAGTTTTGACAAATAGCCTTTGCTAAAGTTATATCAAAGGTATATCAATGTATCAGGTAAGATCAATTGTTCATTACTTGTAACCATAAAGGACTGTCCAAGTACTGTTTAGCTGAGACAGTAGATCATCCTGATAACACTGTGAAAGCAAGGCTTGACTTTTTTTTTCTAAAACATCATATATGTGTTTTTCTGTTTGAGATGTTAGATACATAGATGAGATTTTAAAGCTCAGCTCAATTTTGTCTTTGTTCCAGACCTTTGATGAATGTGTGGCAGCTGGAGGTTCCGACTGTGCTCCAGAGAAACTTTGGCTTCAAATTCCATTCTTCTGTGGCCACAGCTCAGAATGCTGGTAGGGAGATGAATGTAGCTTGTTCATCAAGTACATCAGTGCTGAAATCTAAACTTTAACAAATTTCAGTATGTAGTCCAGTTGATAAAAGTGTGAGGGACTGAACAGAGTGAAGCAGTGGATAGTTGAGTGCTTTCTGTTAAAGGTGGATTTGCTGAAACAGTTTTGCAGTTCTTTAAACTAGCAGTATGTTACAATACTGTATCAGCAGTGCTATGAGGGAAAACATGTTTTCAATTTTAAAAATAATTTTCGCAGATTTAAAGTCTTGACATTTTTCTCTTATGTCAGACTACAGAATCCTTCTTTTGGAATGGATATATTTTAGTTCAAGTTCCTAAAGTTCCTGGGGAATACACAATAATTGAGATCAGGATAAATTTATCTTTTTAAACATTTACCAGATATCCAGTAGTCAATGCTACTTAGCAGAAACTGAAACAAAAGCAAATAGTGTCCATCTGTCAATGCAAAATATTTTATAGTAATGGCAAAGACTTTAAAAAACTCTTAAGCAAAAAAAACCAAAAGAAACCTCACTGAGTTTTTGAAAGATTGTGTGATAGCAAGGGCAATTGTTTGTCAAAGGTTTTGTTCATTCAAACATAAGCAAAGTAAATGGCCACTTGGGAGCTCCTCTTTCAGTGCCTGTTGTTCAGAACTGTCTACTCTCTGGCCATGTGGAGAAGCAGAGAAAGAAAGAAGATGCAAAAGGGAAGGTATGCTCTTGCCAGATTTCTGGTATCTAATGTGAAAGTAGAGACAGAGTATTAATATTGAGACAGTGTAAATCCCCAAAAAATTGCTTGAATAGAGGCATTAATCATATACACACACTGGGTATTTTTGTTTAGATTATTTTATAAGTAGAGGAGTCACATTTTTAGGTGAGAACACAAATGAGAGGAACTGCAAAGGGAAATGAAGTTAGCAATGGTTATAACTTGGAATAAGTCTTGCCTATACAAATGTCCTGTTGTGAAGTAATCTCCATCTAGGGACTAAGGCTGACATCAGAACTTAATATAATTGTTCTCTGTCATTTTAGGAATGTGGGAAGCAGATGGGCTTTGGAACAAGCCAAATACAATCTGATTAATGAATACTTCCTAGTGGGAGTTACTGAAGAGCTTGAAGACTTTATCATGTTATTGGAGGCAGCTCTGCCCCGGTTCTTCAGGGGTGCTACAGAACTGTACCGGACAGGTATTATTAAATAGCTGATTTCATGGAGTTTTCAACCACTTTCTGCCTTTTTCAGTGTAAATTGTTTAGATCTAGGTGAATAGTTTGAGTCTCTGCCAGGTTTGCCTCTCAGCTGGATGATGTTCCTGTATAAGAAACAAACTCCTTTTCAAAGATTCTCAGTTCTTTCTCCCTCTCTCTCTTTCTCTCTCTCTTTCTCTCAGGGGTGATGCTAGTCCAAGTATCTTTCTGCCTTACACTAATTATAAATATTTAAGGCTGGGGTAAAGGTAGATGTGTAGGTATACTGCATGTAACATTGTGATATGTTTGTAACAGAATATTTTTTTTAAAGTTTTACAGTGGCTTCAGCTTTTTAAAGTAGCTGATGTGGCAGATTTCCATTTCCTCAGAAGCCCTGCTGGAATTAACTGTGCTCAGTGCAGCCTGGTTGGCTGAGCAATAAAGCCTGAGGGATGCAGAGACCCAAGTAGATGTTTATCTTCCTGGGCTCCTAGCTACGAGAAGTAGCTCAGTTTCTAGGAGCTGGCCATTCAATTTATGATGAAGAGAAGATCTATCTTAGCAGGGCTCCTAGCTGCAAATAGAGGGAGAAGAGGATCTGATGTACAGAGCCTAGATATGTAGTATTAACAAGTTAATTAGAAAGCAACAGCACTCCTTGGGGAAAATCTGGTCATCATTTTGGTCTTCTTTGTCTCAGAAACTCTGCAACAGGGATATGGCTTATGTATCATTTATGATAAGACTATAGTATCCTATTTAGATGGGAGAATAATGGTTTAAATGCTATTAGTAGAGATTATATTTTGATTAGAAATAGACAATTGAAATCATGCGAAAACAAGATTTTTTTTCTCTTTTATGGAGAGCTAGAGAGAGCTACACCAGAACCGGGAGGTTTTTGGTAGTCTGAGTTGAATATAACCTTCCCTGGAGATATTTAAAATATGTGTAGAAGTGGTGGAGGTATTTAAAAGATGTGTAGGTGTGGCACTTGGGGACATGGCAGTGTTAGGTTTGTGGTTGGACTCGATGACCTTAAATGTCTTTTCCAACATAAAAATTTCTATGATTCTATGAAAGAAGTCTCTGCAGTTTCTAAAATTCTTAACATTTGATACCAGATTAGCAGATAAATAATTAATTTTGAAAGACCAGTTTTGCTCCAGGTAGATTATATGGAGTAATCTTACTCTTTAAATGAATGTTCATTCCCTGGGTTTATTAGAGCAAACAGGAATAATTGAAAGAATGGATGCAAAATTCATAAACATTAAGTGAGAGAGGCTGCAGGTTCCAACTCTGCATGTTGTGTTAATAAATTTTGGATTAAAGCCTGCTCCTTCTAATGCAGTTTATCAACACACTGAGAATATAAAAACTCTGTAAATAACAAAGGACTGTAAACATTTTTTGAGCACGTGAACTTGAAAGTGAAGTTATTGCTTTCATTTTGCATTTAGGAAAGAAGTCGCATCTTAGAAAAACAACTGAGAAAAAACTTCCCACAAAAGAAACTATTGCCAAGCTACAGCAGTCTGAAATCTGGAAAATGGAGAATGAGTTCTATGAATTTGCACTGGAGCAATTTCAGTTTGTCAGAGCACATGCAGTTCGGGAAAAAGATGGAGAATTGTATATTCTGGCTCAAAACTTTTTCTATGAAAAGATTTACCCTAAATCAAACTAAGAATCCTATACTATTAGATTTATGGACCTAAATCTTTGGCCACATCATCATCTTAGTCCTCAGCCATGGAAATTAGATTGCTTGTAGACCTCCAAGACATTTCTTTGTACGAGAAAAGTGGGTTGTGGATCACCTCCAGGGCTTTGGATATAGCTGTGTTGGTAATCCAGAAGCAAAGGCTTCATTTCTTTTATCTAACTAATATTTTCAGTGGGAGTCAATATCCTTAACCTGAAGAAATCTACAATGTAATTTGGAGCAATTAATACAAGGCAGTTTTATTTGAAAATGTAAACAATCAAAAAACCACTTCTGTTGATGCTCTTTTTAATTTTCAGAGCAATTTATTTTCATTTATACTTCTGTGAAGAGGAAATAATTTTTCCCCAGCTTTCACCATGGAAATTTCTGTTGTATACAGTATGAGTAGCCCTAATAACTGGTTGACATCTGTGCTTTGTTTTAGTGAATCATGTCACATGATATTAATTGGGATGGTTAATCATGTTCTGCTGAGAAATGCTGCTGCTGGAATTGGCATATTTATATATGTGGTTTTATTAAAAAATTACAAATATTCATTGGTGTTAAAAATGTCATTTTCACATTAATATTGTAAAAAGTTAAAGAATCAGAGCAGTGGGGTTGTTTGTTTTTTTGTTTTGTTTTGTTTGGTTGTTTTTTTTTATCACCACCGCCACTGGCTGAGGTTGGGAAAACTACAAAGAAATTTGGTATTGTCTGCAGTTCTAGTTGATCCTTACACAGTGGTATAAAAATTGTAAATTCAGTACGTTTCTCCATGGATTCTTTGTAATAATTGTAAACTGAGGTATTGGTGAATCCATATTATGACTCTACTAGTGAGCTGTGGTATGGCTAGGGTTTTCCTACTACTTCAATACTTTTATCTGTAGAATATTTTTACTGAGGTGCTTTATAACGTGTTTTAAAGCATTGCATTTACAAAAGGAGTAAAATGCTGTAAATACTGCTTATTTTATGTATTTGGACCAAAAGGTTTAAAGTAATTAGTTTAAAGTGGGTTTTTTTGCACCGGTTCTGTTATGTGTGAAGTGAAAAACATCACATCTACTTCCTGGTTGAGTTAACTGTTGGACATTGCTGAAATGCACTTCAGTGACCTCTCTGACTTCAATACCAGAATGTTTTGCAGGGATTGTCTTTTCAGAAAAGTAGTCTTCATCCTTTTATTAGGGTAAGAGAACAAGAAGAAAATTGTCATATGCAGTCTGGTTGGGAAAGGTGCAGTGAACTTGATTGACATAATTGTATTTATGTAACTGCCTTACGTGACTGTTGTAAATTTGTGAGTTGCAATTATTAACAATGTGAAACACCTGGCAAATGAAGTAAATTGAAATTTGAGAACAGATGTTTGGGGCCACTGCATTATAGCAAATGGCCATGGAGCACTGCAACAATTTTTCCTATTGAATTTTCTTAAAGATACAAGTATTTACACAGCTTCCACCTGCCTTTTCTTAAAAGTGCTTTTCACAGGATTTGATTGGGAAGGCACTGAGGAGACAAAGAAAGGAATGGTGGGAAAGGTTTAAATTCTTACGGTATGATGCTGAAGGTTTAGTTTAAAATTACCAAGTGGAGTTTCTTTAACCAGCTTGTTCTTGTAATGAAAACAAAGGAAATGGAAAATGGTCTGTGAACTGGATGTCTGCAGCCAAAAGCAACAGCCCAATTACAGAGAGGATAACAAGAGACTATCAAGTACATCTTGCAGTTTCTTTGTTTTCTTAGATTTTTCCCTTCTGATTTTAAAAATAGATCTCTCTTTGTTCTTCCCAAATAATCAGGGAAGTTCCTTCTCGTAAGTTACCATTTATATAGCATGAACCATGCATAAGACTTCCTGTTCTTGTTCTTGCCTGTTGACATAATAATAATGCCAACATGTTTGGATATAGGATGTGTTAGGTCACACATGAAGACATGTTTCCTAGCTAATGAAAGGAACTGAGGAGTCATGCACAAAAAGTAGTTAATGGAGATCTGAAAGTTTTCATTTAAAAGCAGACACTTTTTTTTAAAGTAAAATAAATATTTATAGTCCCAGGAAAGATTTCCGCTCAGTGATAGTTTTATGTTAGATTTTTTACTATGTTGTTCTAATTCAGATTAGTTTATCTTCTTGAATCTCCTTCAGAATTTTCAGCAGAGCACCTCTAACAGAGCTGAAGAGCTTGCTAAGAGAAAAAGCAAAATATTCATCTAAGTAGGTGTGTACAAATGCTTCTCTATTGACAAGAAAGCAATAGACAAAACTTCTGCTGATTTCAGTAGGGTCTACAGAAACAACTTCTATTCTGTAAGCAGTTTTGAAAGTTATGTTTCTTTTTTTTCCTTCCAGGATTTAGAATTTCTTAATTATGAGTCTCCGATAACAAAACCAATAGAACAATGCAATTTTTTTTTACTTTTAAAAGAGCAATATATTTTTCATAGTTCATGTAAGATAACACATTTTATTTAATCAGATATAATTTCCTGTTCTTTGCTGTGAACTGTGATGGTTGAGACAAACAAGAATTTTAGGAACATTTTTTAGAAGTGCCAACAATTGGAGCGGTACTCATTTCAGGTATACTCAGAAAATTTGATCATCTGTAGAACACAGAAGGAACCAAGACTGTCTGCTTTTATATCTAGTGCAACCATTAAGGACAACTGTGAACTTAGAATTATTTGAATTTACAACTATCAAATTGGGTTTCCTAAAAGACAGTTTAGGAAAAGGAGCTTTACAGATTTTTAATAATCTATTCTATTTGTTTTCTGTTTAGAAAACAGAAACAATCCAAGTTGTTGCCATTAAAAAAAATTGACGGTATATAAATGTTATTTATTTCATGTATTTTCCCTTAATGACTCTTAGAGGAAAGCAGCAATATGTGACGTTTTGTTTTTGCAGGTTGTATGATCAGTAAACTATTATGCAGCCTCCTGAACACAGATCTTTTAAGTGGAGTCACTGGACTCTCTGTAGAGGAGTGAGATTGGCTTTTTGCAGGGCTAAGTTCATTTGAAAGGTGCTGAAATGCTCATATATCTACATACACTTGAGAGTAGATTTTGTGACACTGTTCTGTACTTTCTCTACAAAAGTGCCACCCAGACTTTGTGCACAACTCTAGCCCTGTTGAAACTCCTGATGTCAGCCTGAGGCACGAGGTCCTGCTGTGCAGGTGACTACACAGCCAGCCCACAGCATGCCTGGGGCACTTGTGATACTCTGGGCAGTGCTGGTGGGAGAGCAGCAGTGCTTTTAGCTCCTTCCCTTAATAATTCTGCAGCCACACAACAAGAATTTCACTTTTATTTTGTTAATGCATCTATAAGCAAACCCAAGGCTAGGATGCAGAATGTCCTCTGTGCACATTCCTGCTTGTTCTGGGTGGATTTTCTAGCAGTCTCTCTTTTATTGTTATGCTGATCATGGCTTCATTTTTAAACACACTTTAAAATGTATAGCTATACAATGTAGGATATGGAGAACCAGCCCACCCTGATCATTTGAAATGCCTTTTCTGGGTATTTAGTTTTTCTGAAGATACCTAGCTATTTTTACATTACCAGAATAAACTTTTGCTTATTGATGATCTCAGAGTAATTCTATCTTATACTGGGAAAAATTCAGTTATTTTTTTTCACACTTATGTTAAAATTTTCCATTAAGCTTACCTGGCTTAATGTGTATATGTATACTTAAAGGTGTATGTTACAAAAAGGTGTGTGGATGATACTGTCTGAGCTGTGCTGCTTAAGGAGTCAATGGAAAAGCCTGATTCAAGTGCACTGCCAATCTAGCTCTTCAAAATTAGAGCATTTTTTATGACTACTAGAGATTGAACTTAAAGAAAGTTTAAGGCTGCTTAGTTGGATGGATGCATCCTTTACTGTAAGCCTATGCAACTGTGTAACCTTTGCAGCAGTATTTATAGAAAGAGCCTCTCTTCCTGAGACTTATCTGGAGCATAATTATAAATGTTCGTACACTTGTACTGTCTGATACTTACATCAGCAGCTTTCCATAGCTTCTGCAAAAGAGACAGGTTTGTGAGCATTTCTAAAGCAGTACTGAATGTAATTTTGAAAAACATGGATTGTGCTTCATGACCTTTTTATTTTTAAACACACACACACAGCTGAATAGTGCCTTTTTTCTCACAATCCATGTTGAAGATGCTTGCTCCCACTCACCCTCCGTAAATTGATTCATTTGTGCAATACTATTCCAACTTGAAACAATTTTGTCACAGCTATTTGTTTGAGAAATAATCTCAATTTTTCCTCACTGTGCTGCCAGCTTTCTGTTGTTTAAGTGTTTCAGTTGATTACCTAATGCAAATGCTATAAAATAAAACACCCATTGGGAAGGGGAAAGAAAAGAAGTCTGGTGTCCTGTCTTAATATTTGCATGTCACATTCACACTGAATGCTTTTTTTCTGGAGCATGTTGTTTTACAGTATTGTGAACTTTGTTGGCAGCTATTGTGATTTTGGAGGGGAGAGACAAGCTGGAGTGTAGCTCTTCTGTAATAATTTCATACAGCTATAACCAAATATATTTAGAGGCCCTTAGAACTTGGATGGGCTTTGTGACCACATAAAGTTTTAAGTTTGCAGGGGTTATACACTTGCTTGAAGGTGTCAATGGAAAGTTCTTGAGATTAAAGCCAAGATTTGTAAGAACAGAAAACTGGCATTAAAACAGAGGATTTATACCTTTGTGCTTCCCTACCTGAGGAAACAAATGACCAACCAATTGCTGTGGTATGGGCACAGCCTCAGTTACTGCAGTGCTGAGAGTGGTGTAAAGAACTTGAGTAGACTAGAAATGTCATTTGCATTTGTAAGCAAGGACTTAGAACAAGAAAATTCAGTGAGCATAGGTATGCTGCTGTTTAGGATTCTGAGGCCTACTGTAACCACTGCCCTATAAACATCCCTGGCTGTGTGTGCTATGGAGCTGGACATTGTCTGACCCTGCCAAGGGGTCAGGAGTCAATGCAGGAGTTCCTAAATATGTAGTTATCAGCCTTGACAATTAAAAACCATCATGGAATTATTCTGCAACTTCCACTTGAGGATTTTGATGGCTTTTAAATCCCCCTTTTGTTGAAAATAGACTTTTCCTTGCTCCTGTGAATGGAAGTGCAGGGTGTGATTGTGCACAGGAAACAAAGTCTCTCTGCTTTTATCAGCTGGGGGAAGTGGAGGAAAAAAATGCCTATTTAGAGGACTTCCTAAGGTCACTGTAACCTGTTTCTGAAATGATGTAGTAAAATAGAATGACAGCCAAAATAAGTTGCAATACAACAAAAAGCTTTATTTAAAATGACAGTAGCTCCTCCTCTGAAAGACAGGATGACTAGTGTATGTGGTAGGTACTGGTTGAACCATTTTTGAACTGATACTGCCATTCATTTGCCCATGTAATTAATCTCAGCAGTTGGAATTCTTGGGAGGGGAGCAATAGAAGGAAAAGGGGATTTTTGTTCCAACCAGTTTTTTTTTTCAGAGCCTGTATTTTCATTT